TCGACAACCAGGCAGGAAAGTAGGCGGCGCAACGATTGTGTGTGCTAGGCCCGCTCCTTAATAGGAGAAGTGGCCTGTCCATAAGAAACTGTGTGCTGCTCTATAAGCAGCTCATACCTCATAAGATGGATTACGCATGCCTGATCTGGAGGTTAGCTGCCAGCAGCCATGTCAGGAAGCTGCAAGTGTTGCAATCCAAGTGTCTTCGCATTGCGACTAACGCGAATTGGTACGTTAATAACAGACAAAGTCACGAGGAATTGAGGATCCCTCTCTTTGCCGACCACATCAGAGCACTGACTGAGAGATTTGACTCAAAGTTAGCTGGTTTCAGCAGGCCAGCCGAGGCTGTCCCCAAAAGATGGCCAAGTCGGCACAACGAGTGGTCTGACTACTCGGCTAACCTGACTAAGGTTTTCCGTGCTTTTCCTCGGTTGTAAGGTAAATGCTATGGTATAATTCAAGATTGGTATGGCCCGCTACGCCCAATAACGGAGGCCTTCAGACGAAGCGACCCCACCGTCTCAGGGTCCAAACCCCAGAGAAACAACCAATCAAAATCCTTTGAAAAAGGACATGTTGCCCGACGGGATAACCTCTCATCAGCAGCAACAGACCCCAGTTTGAATAGTTGAGCCTCCCGCCACAACAAAATCCCCGTTAGCGTAAACAAACTTCCGTTTTAGTTTTAAGGCTCTGTTTACCACTTCCAGCAATGAGTTTCGTACGCAGGAATGGTGTTGCCTAGCACGGGACGATGTCCTGCGCTTACGCAAGACTCCACACTTAGTTAGCATTTCGGCTGAGTTGGTTGTTGTTTTCATAATTATTCTGCCACGGTGGCGTTATGATTTGGAAGTGGACATAACCTTGATTTTTCTTGTTTGGTTTGTTCGACGGTAACATTTAATTGTATTATGAACGCTGAGTGCTTAACTTACGTATTATTTTCAAATATCCAAAATGAATCGTTTTGTGTTTTTTTGTAGTTCAGGACCATACTCCACTAAGTGCTTCGCACGTGGGTGTAGGTCTTTGTACAGAGAATAGGACGTAAAATCCTTCAGATTTTAAAAAAATCCGGTACGGTACGTAACATAGGCAAATCTGATCTAATGTAATGCATGTGCGTAATAAATCAGATTTGATGATTTCAACGTCTGAAAATGTGGATTGTAATCTTAGGGATGTGAACCACCTACAGGACTACACGGCGACAGAGTCAGGAGGTCACAGTCTACACGTAAGACACTAAGTTCTTTTAAAAGTAAAGCTGTTCCACTATACGCCATGTAGTCGCTTGGTGGGGGGAAGTCGGTATAGCTCCTACTCATTCTTGATCTCGACACTAAATGGGGGTGAGTGGTCAGAATCACGCCCCTGCCGCTCTTTACCCCCGGGAAAGGACCCCGGTAACCATTGGATTGAAGGCTGGGTGGACCCCAGAGCTGGTCTGAATGCAGAGGATAGAGGAAAAGTCCTCTGCCCCCGTCGGGGATCGAACCCCGGTCGTCCGGTCCATAGCCAGTCACTACACTGACTGAACTACTTCGGCTCATAAAATTATGTTCTTTTTTTTTAAAATATTCATACATGGCTGCAACAAGCTTAAAGTTTTCTTTTGAACCATAAGACAGATCTGTATTATTTCTAATCAGTTGCAATAATTATTGTTCTAATATCACATTCATAACAGCAACGTTTTCAAAGAGAATGGAATTAGAAGTTATCCCAATGCCATTAAGTTCTGAACTCAGACTTTCTGGATGAAAATATTAAATTATACAAACATTTGTAATACATGTAAGATTTGAGGTTTTCACAGCAGTGAGTATGAAGATTTCTGTCTTCTGGGTTGTTGCGCTGTGTAGTCTGGTAGATGTTTACCAACGTTCCAGAGGTCATATTGCCTCCTGATAATGGAGGCAGTATGACCTCTGAAACCTTGGTTGACATCGACCAGACTACACAGCGCAACAACCCAGAAGACAGAAATCTTCATTTGTAATACAGTCTCCTTTTTCTAGTGCCAAGGTATGGGCTGAAAAGGTCAGCCAAACATGCAGTATCGACTCTGCCAAAATGCTGTGCAGATATTTTTTGTGCAGCTGGCATTTTGTGGAGAGTGATTTCTGCACTTCTGAAAGAGTATGCCTGAACAGAGTAACAGTTCCACAGGGCTCAGATTCATCTTCACATTTGCCTGACATCTTCCTGAACCTTCCCAACATAGCTCTTTTCTGAAGTCATTGCCCTCACTTTTAACCCCTATGTGTCCTACTATCTACCAGAACCTATGGCTGGGTGTCTGTGTCCTTCTTTACTGTAACACTTCTGCCTGTCCATGCAGACAGTCCTTCAAATTCCTTGCAAATCCCTGCATTCCAAACACCACCACCACCAGCAGTCAGCACTTTTGAAGTGGAAGATACCTCCTTATCCTTGAACCCTGTAAACTGAAATGCTTCTGATGGAGAACTTGGATGCATCAATCATCCAGTTTCTTCCTCAAAGTCTAGTGCAAGGCATTCTCTGTTAAAAGAACCTTGTGTGAACATATCTGGAACCAGAAGAGTGTGCTGTATGAAATAAAAAGGAAATGCAAGGCAAAAAGTTGGAAAATATCTATGATTTGAACAGTCATCATTCTGCTCTGTATCTAGATGCTTCCAGGTTATTTGCAGCAGCTTTTAATAACAGCAGACAGAAGTTCAAGTGCAGAAGGTGGAATTCTGAAGAAAAAGTGTTGGCTCCGTCCCTAATGAAATGTAGCCCTAAATCCTATAACCTTCTAAAGACACTCTCTCTCCTTCCATTTTTACAAATCTTGCAGTGTGTCTGTTTTGAGTTCTTGTTGAAGAACTTGCAGTATGAAATGAATCATATGTTCTTAAAAATGAGTTTAATTTTTCTGGTGATTGTGATTATGGTGGTTGTTCATATTGTGAACATGACTGTTTATTTCAGATTAAAAATAATTGAACAGTCAATTTCTTTAGTGGCAGAGATAATTGAGTTTGGTATCAGATGCTACATTTAGTGATCGGAGTACTGCTATTCTAATAATTATTCTGTTGTTCGTTATGTTACTGTGTAAATTGTTGGGATTCTCAGATACTATCATTTAAACATTGTAATTGTTTCTGATTTGAGGAGTTATTAGTGTGTGATTTCTTCTACAAATTTTCTGCATGTCAGGATGTAGCAGTCTGTAAATTACATATATGGGTATTATTCTAGAAATTGTCTTTCCTTGTTTGTCTGTGGTTAAAGTGTAAATAATATTTAATATCTGGAAACTTTTTGGTATCCTTCCATGTTACAAACTAAGTCCCTGAAAACATTGTTTTCTGTAGATCTAAGTATAAGTGTGAAGACTAATTTAAAGTTGAATACAAATATCTATGATCAAAACATGTCTTTCATTGACAATTTTGAAACCTCAATTGACCTTAGTCATTATGAATATCAGATTACTTTCTCGTTAATTTATTTCAGTAAGGTGATTTTGAATCGATATGGATGAATGCTTAATATGATTGTATCATATTCAAGGAACTCTCATGTTGCTTGGTTACCTTCAACTAGTGGCTAAAAGTTATGTGAAAATTATTATGTACATATTCATTTGTAGCTTAAAGATGGATCGCTTTCTTTTGAGACATTGGTTACTTACGATATCAGGGTTTCAAAGTATGGTATATAAGTAGTCTTTGGGTCGGGGTAGAGGACGAATTTTGAAGGTTAATGAGTAGTTAACCTTCTTACCGACTGGGCTACTGTCACATCGCCGATGTGTTTACTTTGAATCGCTCACAGGTTACAGTACGATACTCGCGGCGCTACGTTGCCAAACCACAGCAATGGAGCTCAACTTCTAGGTTTCTTCTGTAAAGATCCATGTTGTCTCAGAGAAATTGACTGTGATGTTAAAGTTGTTTACTGCCTACATTTTCAGGATTCATTACCTTAATGGTGAAGGAAGTATGCACCTGTAAAACGAAGGCCCATATATCTACCAGATTACATGGCGCACTATTCCAAAAGACTCGTCTTTATAACCATCGCCTTGAGAACCTGAAACTCATCATTCTGTGCACCCTACAGAGTAGACCTTTCGAATCTTCTTCTTGTATAGAAAGACTGAAACATTAAAGGTTTTATTAGAAAGACAACTCTTTACTCACCAAGGAAACATTTTAACGTATACTATTTTCTGCTGGAAAGGCATGCCGGAGTGAAAGTTCATTGTGGGTTGGTTTCGATTCAACTAGTAATATGGAAACACTATAATTATACTTAGGAGCCGGGATAGCTCAGTCAGTATAATGACTAACTACGGGCTGCATGACTGGGGTTCGATCCCAAACGGGAGCAGAGGATTTTTCCTCCAGCATTGCGTCGAGACCGGCTCGGGGTCCTTTCACAGGGGTAAAGCCGGCCGGGGCGTGATGCTTACGACTCACCCCATCTAGTGCCGAGGTCAAGAAAGAGTAGGAGCTATACCGCACTCCCCCCAAATGACCTAATTGGCTTGTAGCGGGACGGTTTTACTTTACATAATTGTACTTATGCCTTCTTAAATGCAGGTTTGTCTAATGCGCATTCGGTTATACGATGAAAATAAATGCGAACAATTTTTTCCGAATGTTAAAATACTACTGCTATTTAAAAGCAAACAACGGTTTACGTTTTGCTCATCTTCTTTTCTCAACTTTCACCGTCTCTTCGTCTCACAAACTACATGTAGCCCGTGGTCTCAGTCTCGTTTACACTATTACCATGTCAATTTGTGTAGTATTGTTTCTCCGCTTTTTACTATTTCTGAGCCCTTCGACAGCATTAAGGAATCTAATTGTAAATGCAAAAGTAATATTGCAGCAAATGAAGATGTAAGTTTATGATACTAGGTAAGAAAATAAAATTCTAGATAAGCTGGCAGATGTGTGAGTGCATCAGTAGTTGAAACATTTCGTTGACAGTTTATTTTAAATTCTAATATTCCTTTAATATTTTACTTTAATGCTTAACTTTCCGATGCACACACAGTTTGTTTTAAATAAATACAATATATTTATGTTTTTTGTTTATGCTTTGTCTTTCCACGGCAGCGTTCTCTTATTGCCATTAGTCTTATACATTATTAATATTGTCACCGCAGATATACCGAAAGCGCCGCTGTGGAGATACGAATCCCCCGCGCTAGACAAGAGATGAGTGCAAGTGATATCCCACTGTCTGTTTGTCCAGGCGTAACTAAATTAACCAATTCAGTATTAATTAATACCTCAACCAACTGTGAATTTGAAATAAATATAGACAGATAACTACTTAAAAGTTTATGACTACATTTACTTTGGTCTAATATATGACTTTATGCATGTTTCGTGTTATAAATATATGTCCACATTTTTTGTTGTTTCAAGTTGTTCATCGATTCATGGCTGCCATATTGAAGTCTTCATGACGGGAGTCAGTTGTTGACTCGGCCTTTTTGCTATGGAAGAAACAAAAATTATATATCATATAGATGATGAAGAAACTCCGTATTTAGTTAAACTGACTATTGCGCCAGAACGCGTTACATTAGCAGATTTCAAGAATGTTCTTAATCGACCAAACTACAAGTTCTTTTTTAAGTCTATGGATGATGATTTTGGGTAAGCCTGGACATTCAGATTTAAATTTATTGTAATGAGTTATAACTGCTGTAGTATCATGCTGGTTCAACATAGATCAGAAAAAATTAATGTTATTATGTACTCTATTCGGATAATTGTGTACAAGTGGGCGTCATTATTGTTTTTTGCCCAACACAAAATGGTTTGTTGACATTGACGTGAGACAGGGTGCCGAATTGAGCAAGGCAAAAATTACTTTCGTCTTTACAATTCTGTAGTTGTCTTTTAGCTTGTTATGATTTTAATTTTCAGCGTTGTTAAAGAAGAGATTATTGACGATGATGCTCATTTACCTTGTTTCAATGGAAGAGTAGTTTCATGGGTAAGTACAAGGAAAGATTGTAGCTAATTTTTTACTTGGGTGTGGCAATGTTCGAGGTGAAGGAAATTTGCAAAAATTTGGTGTTTTTACAGTTGGTCTCTGCTGAAGGCAGCAATGTTTCAGATGGGACATCCCAGTGTACTGACAGTGTTGCACATTCTGATATAAAGGTTCCTGTAGACAGACCTGGAGATCCTCAGTAAGTTATCCTCATTTAATTTGACATTTTTAACGTTGTGTTGCTTATTTATCGATGTAACCTTTGTTTGACAGAATATTGGAGTTTTATGTGATAGGTATGGGAAGTGACAACCCAGATATTTGTTGAAGTCTGTCCATACAGCTTAAAAAATGTAATGGAACCAGGTTGGGTAAGCTTGAATAGTTTAAATTTAACTATTGTAAATAAGTCATCTCAGCCATTATAGTAACTAGCTTGTGTGCTAGACAACTGGGCTTTGATTCCTAACAGAGGCAAGAGATTCTCTTCTTAGCTGCTACATCCAGACCTGCTTCAGGGCCCACCCAGCCTCCTGTCCAGTGGGTACCAGAGTTCTTTCCATCGTAAAGCAGCTACGATGTGTAGCTAACCTCTCATCTCATAGTACAGAGGTCAAGAATGTATAGAGCTATACCTATACTCTCCCATACATCTGTGTGGAATGACATTTAGGTACACACTGGGCCAACTTTCTCTTGAATAAACTGTAAATTTAACGACAGGTATATGTGGTCACCATGCTTTGAAGTTCTAAAAAAGGACATAATATCACCTATTTCCTCTTTTATTTTTTTTATCTGCCCTTCTCTGCCACTTTTTCACATTCTTTACTCCAGTTCTACTCACGAGTTGTTTTTCTTTATGAAAATTTCTGAAATGCATGGGATTTTGAATGCTTATATAATATGTGAATGAATTTACATAGTAACTGTGTTTATGTATAAAAGGACTTTAAACTGGGTATTTCCAAAGATACATAATTTACATTCTTCCCAAAATTCTTTAGATTTGCTCCCATCTCAAAAGTTTGTACGTATCTTATGTTACTGTAGTTTATTTCCTTGTACTAGTGAGTTTGTAAGAATGGTATATCAAGTGTAGGGGTTAAATTTAATTTAAATTACTATCACTAAATGAACAAAAAGTATTCTACAGTCAAAAGAATATTGTTAGAATAATGGCAGGCGCTGAAAGGTGAATGAATGAGACATCAGTAAAAGTGATTACTTTGAAGGTGTAAGCATTATCTATCATCAAGGTCCTCTATATAGGGAAGTAGAAAGGTTGAAGGAGTAATTTGTGATCTATGTAAATTAATTTTCTGGCTTCCACTTATAAGGGCTGAAAGAAACCATCAACACTTTTGTGACATTTGACATATAAAGGGTAATTCACAGTGAAATTAAGGGGAATTTAAATATTTTGACCTCACAAATGCAAAACTTTACATACATACATATTTTTTGGTAGAACAGTATCACTCTCTGGGCAGCAGAATCTCTCATATCTTGTAATATGGAGGGAATTGAATTGGCAGCACAAAATAATTAAATACTCAGAAGTGTTATCAGATATTGCTCCAAGCAGTAAAGCAAAATGCTGTTAGAGACATTAAATCTAGGGTTATATTCAAGAACTGATCATTATTCATATACCAAGTTGAAGATCTTTGAAGATTTCTGTCATCAGGGCAGTATGACCTCTGAAACGTTGGTTAACATCGACCAGACTACACAGCGCAACAACCCAGAAGACAGAAATCTTCATACTCGCTGCTGTGAAAACCTCAAATCTTACATTGAAGCTCTTTGATTTGTCTACAGATATGTAGCCTTGATTGACAAAGAATTCCAGTAGACTTATTGTGGAAGAAGCTGGTGAATGTTTCTTTACTTGTGACCATTACTTATATATTACAAAAGCAAACAAATAATGTTTGAACCAGACATAAACATACTATGAACATGGGCAAAGTCTTTTGTACAAAGCTACATGATTATATTCTGAGTTGAGTAATAGCAGTGGCATGCGTTCAGTAATGGTTTAATTCAGGTTAATTGAGGTGCTGCTTAAGTTATCTGTTACTAATGTTGGCAGCATATATCGAGTAAAAGAGTGAATGTGGCTTACTATGCCATGCCATACCACAGGTGGTTGGTTTCTGACTTCTCACTGCAGATGCCTAGGTTCACTCCTAGGGCACTCCATGTGGGATATTTAGTAGACAGAATGATGCTGGGACAGGCTTTTCTCTGATTTCTTCAGTTTTCCTGTCATTGTTATCCACTGAATTTCTATATTCACTCATGTCTCATTTAGCAGATAGTGGCCCCAGTCCCCAGACGAGGACTTCCCCATCATAAAAACTGGCTTTCTGAGGTCAGTGTCAAAGGGTTAAAATGTCTCTGTCGGGACAGTCATATTAGATTTGAGCTAAACACTTCCAAAATAGAAGTTAGGGGTGTATTACCACTTATCTTATTCATAATCATCATCATTTTTTTTTGCACAGATTTTTCTTTTTCCTGATATATCTCCTCTTTAACCATTGATGAACCCTACCACTCAGGCTTCAGATTGTAGCACTTATTATGTGTTTTGTTCCTAGTACAGGTGTCATTTGTAGAGAATATATTGTATGCTTTTGTGGTATTATTTCCAGATATTTTTGTAGTTTTTTTTAGTTACAATTCTCATGGCCCAGTGATTACTGGTGTGACAGCATTTCATATTCCACATTCGCTGAATTCCTATATTTAGATTTTTGTATTTTAATTTCTTTTCAGTCTCCTCTATTACAAGGGCTGTTCGATAAAAACTGAGAATGAATTTTTAAAAGTATTTGGAAGTCTTGAGGGAAGTTTCATTTATGGTGGTTGGTAGCACTGACACGTGAGAGTCAGTGTCTGCAGTTACAGGTTGCTGCATGTTTAGTTGTGCTTGTGTTGTGACCTTGATTACAAGCTATGCCTGTCTTGCCTGTGAAGTTACACATCCATAGTGGTGGATGTTAAAGCAAGATAGTGCACCACTCTTAAATTTGGTTACTGCTGTTATAACAGGTGATGAAACATGGATTAGGCTGTATGATCCTGAGAATTAGCAGCAAAACACACAGGAGTCTCTTCATGCTCACCAAAACCAAAGAAAGCTCTTGTCTCTCAATTGGCAATTAAAGTTACAGCACTAGTGTGTTTTGATTGTTGTGGAATAATTTACACACACACAGTACCACCTAAAACAACTGTCACTGGAGTTTATGACTGTTCAGTTATCAAAACCTTTATGGACCGCTCGTTCACTCACTATGGTGCAGGAAATTCATTGAAAAGTCGATTGTGTACTTGGCTTGTCAAAGAATAGCCCACTTTCTTTATGGAAGCTGAGGGTTCATAACTGTGTTCACAAAAGCCTGCCACTGAACTCTGTCTTGAGCTGGCTGCATCCAGTTTGCTCCATCAATTGCTGTCTCCCTATGGTCCATCTTAATGCTATCCTCCCACGTACGTCTAGGTTTTCCAGCAGTCTTCTCAATTCAAGCCTCCCAACCAGTACATTATAAACACCTCTCCCCTTCTCTCCATTCATGCTGAATGATTGCTCACCTCATACTCCTCGATTTAATCACCCTAACAATATCAGGTAGGGAGTACAGGCTGTGAAACTCATCATTATGCAATTTTCTGCATGATCTGTCTTCCTCCCTTTAAGGCCATATATCCTCCTCAACACCCTGTTTTCAAAGACCCCCAATCTATGTTCCTCCCTCAAAGTGAGAGACCAAGTTTTGCACCCATACAGCACAACTGGCAAAATTACACTTTTGTATATTTTAAACTTCATTTTTTTTATATGAGACGGGAGGACAAAGGTTTTGGACTGAATTTAATCTGCTATTGGTTTTGTCATGAATGTTATTCTGACTTATTAGTGTCATCCCTTAGTACTTGAATTTTGTCACATTTTTGAAGGATTCAGTAGCAATACTTATATTCTGGATCTGTCCTGAATTATGATGTTGAAGCATGGTCATGTACTTAGTATTTTCTGCATTTATTTCTAGACCAACATCACTACTAGCCCTCAAGAATGTTTCTCTGTTTGCTTTTATAGTACATATATTTGCACCCAACAGATGAATATCATCAGCATAGACTGAAAGCGGATGTGTCCCATTCAGTTCCAAACTGCCCTGATTTTCTTGTACTTTCCAATTGGCATATTTCTTAGGCAAAGTTGAAAAGCAGCAGTGATAAAGCATCTCCCTGTTCCAGACCATTCTGATTAGGAAGTATATTGAACAAGTGTTTACCTATACAGATTGTACTAGAGGTTTCACTTAAACCTATTTTAATTAGCCTGACTATCTTCTTAGGTGCATCAAATTCAAGCAAAATATTGTGAAGAGCTTATCTTTTAACTGAGTAACTGTAAGTAGTTGATGGACTGTCCCATTGTACTCCACTTTTTCTCCATTATCTGGCAAATGTAGAAATTGGATCAGTTGCAGATATATTATGACATAACCTACACTGATGATCCCCAGTAATTTCATTGGCATATAAACTCGGCCTCACCAGAAGAATGTTAGATAAAGTTTTATAGGCAGATGATAAGGGGGATATTCCTCGATAATTACATCAGTCTTATCACCCTTCTTATGAATAGGTACAATAATAGATTCCTTCTACTGTGGCATTTCTTCCTTATTCCATATAGAGGAAATAAGTTTGTATATCTCAGAATGCACTGTTTTGCCTTTGCGTTGATCAGTTCGGCCAGAATCTGATCAGTACCCGGATATTTATACCTATTCAACTTCGATAAGACTAGGTTCTGGCACTAATGGCTCAGCCATATGTATATATCTACCTTTTACGAACCTGTGAACATTTAACAGCTGGTTAAAGAAATTTTGTCCACCTATTCAAAACCCTGTGGGGATCTGCAAGCATCAGAATAAAATGACCGGAGTATATTTGACACTGGATGCTTCATCATGATAATGCCAGACCACTTGTTGCAAACATTGTCATTTACTTTTTGACAAGTAAAGGTGTTCAGTCTATCCCCCACCCTTTTGCTCAGAACTCGCACCTTGTGACTGCTTTTTTTTTTTAAAAAGGTAGCTTCAAAGACATCATAAACTGTATTACATGAGGCTTGGAACTAGTAGAACATTTAGGAATAAGAAAAGG